CTCCGCAGGGATCAGAGCCGCTGGGCAGCGCTGGGATGCCCCGGCCAGGGCAGCCACCCCGAAAGCAGCTCTGGTCCCTCTAGCTTCCACATCCTGACTCCTCGTTTCGGGAGGAGCTGATTTCCTATCACTGCCCGGGGCCTGGGCAGGGCTCACAGAGGAAAACCTGCCCCGCCACCCGAGCAGAGGCTGCTTGGGGGAGCCTGGGTGCATGGGCAGCAGGGACCCGCCGGGACCGTCCATCCTCCCTGGGAGGCTTCGCCCACAGATGGGACCGGGGCACTTGCTGAGCCTGCTCCTGACCCAGCCCTGCTGGCCCACCCCCACCCCGCCGACCTGGGGAGCGTGAGCACAGGGGAAAACCAGCCACAAAGTCAGGTTTTCCTCCGAGCTCCTGTCTATAAAAGGAGTCACTTCCTCAGAGCCAGGGCCTGGCTTCGCCCCTGCCCCACACACCCCGGCCGGGTCTCAGGCATGCGGGGAATGCTCCTTAGTCACTGTCTTTTGGAGACTTTCCCCAAATATGGTGCCTGGGCTCGAGCCACTGGCTTGCTCCTGGAGGGGAGGGGATGGGGCGGCGGTGACATCACTGTCCGAGGAGCTGGCCTTTTAGCGCAGCCCCAGCCTCCCACGCTCGCAGTTCCAGGCTCCAGGCAGAGCATCGTCCGTCTGTCCGTCCGTCCGTCCGCGCAGCCCAGCAGCTCCTCGTAAGTGTGCCGGGGAGGGCGGCCGGAGGCCAGGCCGGGAAGATGCAGGGGGACGCAGGCCAGCCACATGCTTGTCTCCCCAGGTGCAGCCGTCTGGTCTAGGCTCCGTCCTCGGGGACCAGCCTGCCAGTGATGCTGCGTGGCAGGATTGGCATGGGGCAGCGCAAGGGGCTTTGCAGTCCCTCCTGGTTCACTGCTAGGTCTCAGCCTGCGCCCTGGGTTAGTGGGCAGGCAGGGGTAGGGCTGCTTTCAGGGTCTGGTCGCTCCACGTGGAGCCATGCTCTGGCACTAGACGGGAAAGCAGTGGGGTTGCAAGCCGGCGATGCTCAGCGGCTTCCTGGCTCCGCACAACCTCCCTCCTTGCCAGGCTCCTGCGGGTGGGCAGGCCGATGGCTGCGCTGCCAAGCGGTGCCCTGGGGAGCAGTGCCCTGGGGAGCGCAGGTCTCTCATGGGAGGGGGCAAGGAGGCAGCTCCACCCCCCCGTGGCGCAGGGATGCTGCCCCTCCTGCGGTCACATGCCTGCCTGCCGGGGTGGCACGGTGCCAGCGTGCGCATGTTGCTGGAGAGGCGGTGGCTGCCGGGCAATGTGCAATGAGCAGTGGTAGCAGGGCAGGCAGGAGGGCCCTAGGGCAGGACGGCCCTGAGCCCAGAGACATGCCGGAGCTCAGGCAGCGGCAGCTGCGTCGGACACAACGCTGAAATGGCTCCGTTTGCTCAAGGCAGAGACTTCGGGGCCCTGCTCCGGGAAGCTGCACTCCTGGGACTGCCCCCTGCGCCGGGCAGCAAGCCAGCAGAGCTACGGCTGCGCTGGCACTTGCCCATCTCTGCCCACGCCCTGTCTAGTCCGGGGCCTCGCTCGGGCCCCACTTGCCTGGTGCTCGGTCCGGGATTGCAGTGCAGCTCACGGGCCTCTTGTGGCTGCTACCTGCCCTTGGGGCCCAGCCACGCCTAGAGGGACTGCCCTGGCCCACGTGCTGCCTGCGCGCCCATCCGGGGGGAGTGCCAGGCACCGTGCCCCTGGCGAGCGTGGCCTGAGCTGGGGCCGGCTCGGACCCTTGCTCTCGCGGGGCATGAGAAGCCACTGTCCGCAGCGCCTGGGGATGCCTGGTGGGCACGGGGACAGGGGCTCCCATTCCAGCTGTGAATGCCCACGGGGCTCAGGCTGCCACTGCCCACGAGGATGCAGGTGGTTGCTGAAATCAAGGGGCTGCTGGTGCAATGGGGGGACGGCGCCACTGGACAGATGCTCCCCGGGTTAGTCTGTGGCCCTGCTGGTGCCTCCTAGGCTGGAGCGCAGCTCCGGCAGTGCCTGGAGAGGCCACGGGGGCAGAAGGAGGCGTAGGCTGGACAGTGGCTCCCGGAGACAGCGCCTCAGGCGCCGGAGGCAAGTTTGGGCAGGAAGTGTCTGTGCGCTGCCTTTCCTTGCTCGTGCCCGGGCGCCCACGTGTGGGGTTGGCGGGAGGCGCTGTCTGGGTCAGAGCCGCCGCGGACATGCAGACGGGCTGAGCTCACCCCGGCCTTTCCCCCCTGCCCCAGGTCTCATTCCCCGAGTGAACATGGCAAACAAGGGCCCCAGCTATGGGATGAGCAGGGACGTGCAGTCCAAGATCGAGAAGAAGTACGATGACGACCTGGAGGAGCGCCTGGTGGAGTGGATCGTGGCGCAGTGCGGGGCGGGCGTGGGGCGTCCCGAGCGTGGCAGGCTGGGCTTCCAGGTCTGGCTGAAGAATGGCGTGGTAAGTGTGGCCGGACCTTGGCGCCGGGCTGCGCCTTGGCCCCAGGGGCTGGGGAATCAGTACAGCTCTCCTGCAGGGCAGCAAAGGCCAGGCCCTCAGAGCCGATCCTGCCCCCTCTGCTTGCAGGTCCTCAGCAAGCTGGTGAACAGCCTCTACCCAGAGGGCTCAAAGCCCATCAAGGTCCCCGACACCCCTCCCAGCATGGTCTTCAAGCAGATGGAGCAGGTGGCACAGTTCCTGAAGGCGGCCGAGGACTACGGCGTGGTGAAAACAGACATGTTCCAGACCGTCGACCTCTTCGAAGGTGCGGGGTCAGAAACCGGGGCCACCATGGGCAATGCCCCAGGGACGGGTACATTCGCAGAGGCACCATCACCACTGGGCCTTGATCAGGGCCCCGGGTGCACAGACACAAGGGAGAAGCCCCCTGACAGCAGCAACGGGCTGCGACTGGCAGGCAGGCAGGCCAGGGGCAGTCCGAGAGAGAGCGGGGCTCCCTGTGCCTGCCCCAGGTGCAGCTCTGTCCTAGAGGCACCGGGACTATAAGTAGTGCAGCCCCCGCGGTCACGGGCCTGGGTTCCTTGCCTAGGCCGAGTGCTCCCTGCAAGTACAGCGGGCTGGGGAGCGCCGGGACTCAGGGCATGCGTGGGTGGGAGCTGTCTTGCAGGGAGGGGGACAGCGACACGTGCCCCAAGCACCATGCATCCTGGCCGCCGCTCATGGCCTGCGGTTCCCTCCCCCAGCCAAGGACATGGCGGCCGTGCAGAGAACGCTGATGGCCTTGGGGAGCTTGGCGGTGACCAAGAATGATGGCCACTATCATGGGGACCCGTCCTGGTTCATGAAGTGAGTGTCCCCTCCTGCAGCCAGGCTGCTCGGGCTGGGGAGGGGGGAGCCGGCCCCAGCTGGGGGCCGCGCAGGGCAGTGGGGACGCATAGCCGGGGAGGAAGGGGAGTCAGAGGCTGCCTCTCGCCCTGCAGGAAAGCCCAGGAGCACAAGCGGGACTTCAGCGAAAGCCAGATGAAGGAGGGGAAGAACATCATCGGCCTGCAGATGGGGAGCAACAAGGGGGCCACGCAGTCGGGCATGACGGGCTACGGGCGGCCCCGACAGATCATCAGCTAGACGGCGCCGGAGCCAGAGCCAGAGCCAGAGCCGGGCCGACCAACCCCACCCCAACCAGGAACTGGCCTCCACCCCCGCCCCCCGAGCCCAGCCGCGGCCAACGCACCAAGCCACCGGGGCCCTGATGCCCCCGACCGCACTGAATCAACGTCGATTGGATGTTTATTGAAAAAGCTTCTCAAAAAACAACCCCCCGGCCCACCGGCGACGCATGGAGGGAGGCAGGGGCCCCCGTTCAGCCGCCAGCCCTGGCCACGTGCTGCGTCCCCAGGGCCCCCCAGACCTGTGCATGCTCCCAGCTTCGCTCCCCGCGGCTTCCGTGCCTCCAGCTACATTTGTTTGCTGCGTTGCAGAGCTGGCTGTCGCACCCGCCGGCCACCGCGACCCGCGCCCCGAGCAGGCCGCCCGACTGGCACATCCCTGTAGCGCCCGTGCAGCTGCCCAGCCTGCCAATAAACCTTGCACAAGCGAAAGCGAACGCTGTCCGTCTTTGCCAAGGGAGGGGGTGACATAAGCCTCGGTTTTGTACTTTTTTTTCCTTTGTCAGAATTAAAAAGAAAGGTTGTGACTCTTCGGCGGCTTCCCATGTCCTTTTCTGCTCCGTTTTCACTTCATCCTGTCGCTTCAGCCTTGAGCATGCACCGCTGCCCCAGCGAGTCCCAGCGCTCATCCCTAGGCTGGGCGGACAGGACAGGCCGGCGGGGGTCCAGTAAAGCGGGGTGAGACGCACGGGTGTCTCTAAAAGACCCTGCAGTCGCTCAAAGCGGGTTTCCTCCTTGTTGCTCAAGCTCCAGGGGCTGGAAGAGCAGGGCTTTTGGCTGCAGCCTCCCTCTGCTTGTAGGGCAGGGCAGCCGATGCCCCGGCCCATTTTGGCTCTAGGGTAGTTAAGCACCTTGGCACGCTCGATCCCATCACGCTGTTCCCCAGTGGCTTGGGTCCTGTCGGCGAGAGCCTGGGGGAAGCCTGCTCCCATCCCACCATCCTGCCAGGGGGACGCAGTGCTGAGTTCTCACAGCACCTCACCTCGCGGGTTAGAGCGGTCCCCAGTGTGCCAGGGCTTCGATCGGACCTTGGTCCTGAACATTTTGCGGGGTCAGAGCTAGTGCTAAGCAGCCAGTGGCCAGGCCAGAGGCAGGCGTCCCTTTGCTGCACAGGGGCTGACACCTTCTTGGATCAGCTCTGCCAGTGAGCTGTGCCCATGATCTGCAAGTGGGCAACTGGCACCATTTGGAGTTGACTTCCAGAGGTGCTGAGCCCACTGTCTCCGGCCTTGCCTGGCTCTGCCAGTGCACAGCACCTCAGATACACGGGCCTGGGGAAAAGCAAGTCACGGTGCTTTCTCCCCTGAAAGGGCTTGTGCCTTGTGGCACTGGGGGTGTACAAGCGGGACAGAAGGACCTACCTGAAGTGCAGAGGCTTCAGCACCAGGGCGGTTTTTAGAAGAATTTATTTTGGAAAGCGGCACAGAAAGAGCTTCGCCGTTAAAAAATCAAATCCCGACTCTTAGAAAAGAAACTCAGTCTGTGCCGTGATGGTCGCTGAGACCCTGCCTGTACCCGCTGCCCACCAGCCACCACTGCTCCTGGGAGAAGGGGAGCAGGGTGGGTCATGGTTGGAGCCACGCGAGGCCACAACGCCCTCCCCGGCTGAGCCGAGCCTGCTGGCCCCTCTGCTCAGACAGAGGTGGACGGTGTGTGCGAGAGGAGGGGGGAGAGACGGGGGAACACGGGCAGCTGCTGCGGTTGCAAAAGGGGCAAGCGCTATTTCTTGCCTCTGACTTTGGTCCAATGGGGGCACGCAAGCCAACTGGGAACCCATCCGGGGGAAACCCATGGAGCCCTGAGGCTGCTGCTGCCAGCGGACAGATCCCAGCCACCCTGGCAGGAGCTGGGGTGGCTGCAGAGGGAGGGGGGAACAGGGCACCAGCCTGCCGGTCCCGGGCACTTGGCTTTGCTTTGGCTACCAGAGCCAGGGAAGCCACTACGACTCTGCCAGGGGCTCCCTCCCAATACCAGGAGCACCCGAGAGCGAGCCAGGGGCTCCATGTCCTCCCAGGACAACTGCTGCTGTCAGCAGCAGTCCCCAGCTCTGCCCACCCAGCGCTTCTTCCAACAGAAGCATCAGCCTCACAGTCACAGGGCCAAGAGAAAGCACCCCCGCGACTTTGCTCACAGTCACCGGGAGCCCTGCAGTGGCAGCTGGGGGCCAAGCAGGGGCTGGGCGAGAGCCTTCCCTGCCCTCACAGTGGGGCCAGCAGGCCAGGGCCAAGCCACCCGTGCAGCAAAAAACAAACGGAGCAGAACAAAGCAAACAGCTTAACAGTGTGCAGAGACAGACAAACAGGTGGACAGACAGCAACACCTGTGCCATGCACAGCCAGACCGCACCGCAGCGGGGAGCGCAGCTCCAGGGCCCGGCGTTCCTCTCTAGGAGAGCATCCTACCTGTAGCCAGGCTCCTGCCAGCTGCCTGGGGGGTGGGCCAGGGCTGCGCTGAGCACGGACAAGGAGCCCTGAGTGTCGCTGCCCAGCAGACTCCTCAGTAAATGGTTTAAGGCTTGTTCAGCTTGTGCAAGGAGGGAGCAAAGCTCCTGCACTGGGGAACGTGGGGCCCTCACAGTCTCCTTTGCTTCACATGTCCATGCTGTGCTAGCCCCTGAGCCGCACCAGCGCCTGCCTCCCTGTGGTAAACAGCAGCGGGCTGCGGCTGAGCTGGGTCGGTAACAGCCGCGCCTGGTGCCCAGGCGAGGGTGCAGCCAGCGCCTCAGGTCCTCAGCCCCAGCTAGCAAGTCTGCTGCTCCCTGCTAGCCAAGAGGAGCTCAGAGGCCATGTCCCGGCCAGGGTATCCTGGACCCGCACGAGCCCCCTCATGAAAGCCCGTGGTTCTTTCACCGGTGGAGAACTTGGGGGCCAGTGGGCTCCAGCCAGCCTCATCCCCCTGTGTCCCCAGGCTGGGCATGGGGGGCTCAGCCTCCACCTCGACCTCCTCCATGTCCTTCTCTGTGTAGAGCAGGACAGACTCCATCTCCATCCCGTCTTCCAGGGTCCGGTGCTTCCCGCCCCGGTGGTACCACCTGCAGGCGGAGGAGCTATGGCACGTCAGGTCAAAGGCCACTTGGTGCCGGGTCAGGTACACCTCCAGCATGTAGTAGACAGTCCAGAAGACAGTGAAGCAGCCCAGCAGCATGAGCGTCTGCAGTGGGGGCGGAGAAAGCCCCGTGAGACCCCCAAGCAGAACAGCCAGACCCCAGACCCCTGTGTCCTGCCACCCCCTTTCCCAATGACTTGTGTCTGCTACACAGGGTGCGATGGGGTGGCACCGCCAGGAGGAACTGGGGCCTGTGCTGGGCCTTAGAACCGGTCTTGCTTCCCAGGGGCCCTGGCTTGTCCCAACCACGGCTGGCCTGGAGGCGGGAGGTTGAGGAGAAGCCTCATGTTCCCTGCTGATCCCCACAGAGCAAGCATTGCCTTCAGCTCCTGCCCAGGAGAGTGGGGCAGTGGGGACATGAACCGGGGAGTGGGGAGAATTCCCAGGACACCGAGAAAGGTCTGGGAGCCTCTTGCCCCAATCTCCTCTCCCCTGGGGCAGCAGCCGGGTCAGGCACCGATCCCTCTGATCACTGGTGTGTGGGGATGGAGCTGGTGATCCCAGGGGAAGCTGCACTCCCCTGTGCTCAGCCCTGGCCATGCAGCCCCAATCTCTGCTTCCAGCCAGGCTGGGGACATGGCACCCACCCGTCCCACCTCACCCGCCCGGCGCTACCTTGAGGGTGTTGGTGGTGATGGTGTACGGCTCCTGCTCTGGGATGTCCAGTCCCGGGGGGCACGGCAGGGAGAAGCCATTGTTCAAGTACTGCCCACTCATGGCCTCCTCCAGCAGCCTGAAGGCAGGAGACACTTGCAGCCAGGGGCAGGGGCACCACTGCCTCCCCTCCCTGTGGGAAAGGCCCCGTGCGTGCTCGCCTCTGGGGCAGGGGCCAGGTCACCCTCCCTCCCAGGGCCAGACACATCTGGCTGCTACCAGCCCCCTGCAAAACCTATGGCAGGCCCCTGCAGGGCTCCATGCCCTGTCCTGACCCTGCCTGCCAAACCAGTTCCCCCATGCACTTTCCCAGGCCAGGATCTACGGTTCCCAGGGTTCAGCCTCTGCTCGCCCTTCAGATGGGATGAACCCCAGTCTCCCCTCAACTAGGGCTGGTGCTACATCCCTGGGATGCTGGGACAACCTGCCAGCCGTGCCGAGCTGCAGGCCGTGCACACACCCCACAGGGGCACTCCCGAGCAGCTTGGTTAATGGCCCATGGAGTCCTGGGGCTAGTGAGAGCAGTTTGGTTCAGGGGTGGCCATAGCTCCGCTGGCCTGGGGTAAGCTCCATGCGGCACCTTTGCCCGCGGCCCCAACACCCACATGAACCGCCCCCTCCACCAGCAGCCACTGAGGAAGCAGGGCATCCAGGACGCAGGTGGGTGGTGGGGACAGGGCTCCCATGAGGCCAGCAGCCTACCTCTGCCGCTGCTTCATTTCATCTGGGGCCCAGGAAGAGCCATATAGCGTCAGCTGCCACTGCTTCAGCAACCCTGCTGGCAGGGTCTTGTCCCCTGGGGAAGCAAGGTGCCGTGGTCAGGCCGAACGCTGCCAGCTGGGCCCAGGCAGCACCTGGTGCTGCTGCTTCCCAGCCAAAGCAGAGGGCTCCTGATGGCCCAGGAGGCAGCAGGGAGCCTGCACCCAGAACAGGCCATGGGAGGACATGTGTGTGGGCACGCCTCTGCTTGGAAAGCCTGTGACTGGCACGGGGATGGGCTCTTTCTTTGCTTTCCCTGCAATACTGCAGGCAGCGGATAGCAGGGGTCATGCACCCCCTCAGCCCCACCCCACTCCCGCCCCCGCCCCCCCACGAGCCCAAGGCAATGCCAGGAGGTGTCCACATCCAATATCAGAGCACAAGGGTGGAGAAACCCTGCCTGGACCCTTCTGGTCTTGAGGGAAGGGACTCACCAGTGTCCCTGATGACAAGCCTGTAGGTGCCCTGGGCCTCCTCTCCCCAGCACCGCACTGTGGAGAAGGTCCAGTCAGCGAAGCCACTGGGGTCCCTGCAAGAGGAAAGGCACGAACGTGAAACTGCCACCGGTGACTGGGGTGTGACAGGCCCAGCTGCCCTGGTGCAGGGACTGGGCACCCCTGGACCATTACACAGGGCCTGGTGTGAGCCAGGGGAGACTGTGGGGACAGAGTGAGACCCCACGTGGTCTGCAGGGCAGCGACAGGGCGAGCTGCCACCTAGCCAGCACTGCTCAAGCACACAAAGCAGCTCACAGAGGCCATCCCTGCTCCCTGGGGGCTGGGTTACAAGATGCTCAGAGGTAGCCTGTGGCAAGAGTTGCACTGGACACTGGCTGGGAACGGGGAGAGGTGCATGACTGCACACCTCGCCCTTATTGCCCCAGCGCAGTGCAGGGGCCTGCTCTGTGCCTGGACCCACCTCTGGCAGATCTGCGGGCTTTGCCAGGTTCGGAATTGAGCTCCCCAGGGCCAGCAGGGCAGGAGATACATGGGAGTCCCCACAGCCCAAGGAACCATCTTCCCACCCCTCCATGGGTGTGCCACTCCCATCAGCCAGCCCAGGGCCTGCTGCACTTACGAGTCCATGCTCCGCGTGGTCCCAATCAGTGACATGATGCCGCTGGGACAGAAGAGCCTGATCTCCAGGTTGCCGCGGCGAGGATGAGTGATGGTGACGGTCACCGCCACGTGCTCCAGCGTCCTCATGCCCGACAGCTCCAGGTCAGCCAGGGTAACTGGGGAAGAGGGGGCTGGCTGGAGCATTCCCAGATGCCCAGCAGGGTGGGCAGCTTGCTGGCACTGATGAGGCCTTCCTGCTCCTTCTCTTCCCTCCCTCCACCCTGGGCCACGAACAGAGCTTCCACCCAGCGCAGCCCTGGGGCCTGGACGGCCTTCTCAGGCTCTGGCCAGCCCCAGGGGAAGCAGCTCCGAGTGTGCTGTGCCCCCAGCTCTGATGCACAGTGACTTCATGGGAAGCTCATGTGTGCCTTGCTTTTCCCACATGCACTGAGCAGCTTGGGCACCCCAGGTGCAGGAGGTGGAGCGCAGGACATGCCACCTGTCTCTGCAGGAAGCTGGTCCCACGGACCAGGTTTGTCTCCAGAGGAAAATCCCTTATGCCCCCAGTGCTGCAGAACAGCATCACCGGAACAAGTCAGGTGGTTCCTGCTGGTGGCTGTGAGGGGCAGTGAAGTCAGGAGAGCAATGGGGATGGGGTGAAGGGGCTTGCAACATGGGGCCACCACTCCAGAAGGGGCTGGCAGCAGGCACACGGTTTAGTGAACAGACGCCCCCCAGACACCTGGCAGCACTGCAGGCCGGGGCAATGGACCTGCCCTCTGAGACATTAGCATGGATGCGGGGGCCACGAGAAGCTTTCCCGCACTGTCCTGTGTGCCCCTCCCCACAGCCCTGGCTGTGGCGGCCCCTCCCTGCAGGGCCTCCCTGTCTGGATTAGATCCGGATTTGATGCCGTGCACGCAGGATGGGCAGTTGACAGCAGATTCCTGACTCAGAGTCTGCAAATGCCAGAGCAGGCAGAGGGCTGCCGGGAGATTCAGGGGCACAAGCAACCTTTGATCTTTGGCCACCAGGAGTTAATCCTGGGCCCTGTGCTGGCTGGGGCCCCACACATGGGGCTGACCTCAGCCCTCCCAGCCTCACCGTGCCCCAAGAACTAGGTCTTGTTTCCCCTTCCAGGCTGTGAGCAACTGGCCTAGGGAGATAGCTGCCAAGCTGAGTCCTGACTCCCAGCCCTCGCTCCAGCTGCCAGCCCATGTAGTGATGGAGCTGCCACCTCCGCAGCTGGCAAGTCTGATGTCAGGAGCTGGCGTTGCAGCTCGGTGAAGCTAGTCCTTTGGCCGCCCCCACAGCCCCGGCCAGGGAGCAGGGGGCAGCTCCTGCCTGTCTCCAAACTACAGGAATGAGTGGGGCCTCAACAGCTCTTGCGGGCTGCCCTCACTAATGGCGCTCATTAGTCATGAAGCCACGCGGGATTCTCACTTGCATCCTGCCTACAGCGCCCGGCTGCAGCTCCAGACACCCTTGGTGCCTAAGAGAGCAAAGGGTTGGCTCTGAGACACCCCTGCGGTACCTGGGCTGCCAGCAGCCTCTCGCATTCCTTCGGCTCTGCTCCCACAGAGCCCTGGCTTTCCCCAGCTGCCTGTTTGTGACGCTGCTCCCGGCCGCACAATTCCTTTTAGGGCAAATGCGTGCAAAGCTGGCCGGGCTGTTCCTCCCCTCACCGTGAACTTGGAGCTCTGAGCGAGACACGAACAAGCTCGACTGCACTAACAAACCCGGCCCCGGCGCTGTGCAGGCCTCGGGGCACCGCCCCTGGGGCCGTAACGCTGAGCTCCTTGCTCAACTGCTGCCACCCGGGAGAGACCCTCGGACCAGCTTCTCCAGCCCTGCCCCTTGCTGGTCCAGGCAGCATGAGGCTAGGCAACCCAAGGTTGGCACCACAGCCCTGGAGATGGCAGGGCCCTAGGCTCAGCCCTGGGTGGGGGGGGGGGCAATCCCTCAGCCTGCTTGTGCCACCCCACATAGGTACTGTGGGCTAAACGCAGGAGGCCCAGGGTCAATCGGGGGTCCTGAGGCCTCAGAGGCAGCCTCCCATGGGCTCCCACCAGGGCTAGCAATGGGTGTCATCTTGCAGGGGCAGGGAGCAGCAGTGCTGGTGCCCACATGGTGCAGTGATGCAGGCAGTGGGGGCAACTCCCCTGGGACAAAGGCAGCTTGTTCTGAAGGGCACGGGGCAGCGGAGCCCAACCAGCCCTGAGCTGGGCTGCACCATGCCAGCTCCTCTTCCTTGCCAGGCCTCCCCCCAGTAGCGGCTCGGAGAGACGCCTTGTTTGTGCAGACAGGATGGCCAAATCAGGAGCTGCAGCATTACCTAACATGGTCACAGCCGCCGAGCGAGCTGGACTGGCTATGGCCCAGCGCCCCACGGCTGGGAGCACTCACTCCCCTCTCTGGTTTCCCAAAGACATCCGTTCATTAGCCTTATCGTGAGCCGGGAGGGGGAGCAGATCAACAAGCAGGACAGTCCCTCTGGAGGCAGCAGTAACCCAGGGGAAGAGGGAAGGATCTGGACACTTAACTCCCTCATTCCCAGACTGAAACACTCCTGGGCCTGCCCTGAGCCAGCCTGGCCAGCTGCCCTGTGCTGCCTGTAGCTCCAGCAGTGCCGCCCCTGCCTAGCTCACCTGCCCCTGCTGCCCCTCCTTGTCCTGGCCTGTCTCCAGCACAGCCCCTGCTCCTGTCCCTGGTGTGTCTGGAGCTGCAGCACATGATCCCCCTCCAGTGCAGCCTGCAGCCAGTGCCCCTGTCTCGAGGCCAACCAGCAGCCTCCTCCAAAGGCAGCACAAGTCTGGTCTGCTCTGCTTTAACCGTGCAGGCTCTGCGGTAGCCAGAGATCCCCTCTTCCCTGGGGCTCCCGGCTTCCCCCTGCTCTCTTGGCCTACGGGACGGGAGGAAGAGGCCCCTCACCTGCAGACCGCACAGGACCTCTTTGAAGGCCATGCTCAGGACACCAGTGATGTGGCTGCGGTCATCTGTGCTGCCCACTTCCCTCCTCCTGGATCTGCCCTTCCCAAGCTCCTTGCAGACTGGTGCCCAGCAGGCAGGGTGGGGAGGGACTTGGAGGCTCCACGGCAGGTGCCCCGTGAGTCTGGAGGCCCTGCTTCTCAAAGCCACCATGCCCACGGAAAGGGCTGCACAGAGAGCCGGGCGACACTCACCGTTCCAGGAGACCTCGAGCCTCTGCGGGAGGAGGGGGATGGCCTTCCCCTCCCTGAGCACGGGGCTGATGTACGATAGTAAGTACGGGACGGACTCCCAGATCTGTGAAAGGAAGCGGAGGCATGTGTGGGTTCCACCCTGGGTTGTGCCCGCTCCGGCCCCTCGGCCTCAGGCATGAGCCTCTGAGCCTGGGTCTCGCTCAGACCGGCCTTATCACTGATGCCCCCATCACAGGCCTCCGTGTCCTTGCTGCTAAGCACTTTGCAGCAGCTCAGTGAGCACCTGCAGTCTTCTGTTAACGTGGGGACTTTGATGTGGGGCCTGGGAGTGAGGTGTCACACCCTGGGATGCTGAGAAAAGCCGTGAGTGTGAAGCTAGAGCAGCAGAGGCCAGGTGAAGGGAAGTGGTACCAACCCGCAAAGCACAGGAGGCCACAGCTTGTCCCAGAGCAGAGGGAATGCTGCAGGGGGGTGGGAAGGAAGCTGAAGGGACTTGATTCAGGCCTCACAGTGAATCAGTAGCAGAGCTGGGCACAGGACCTAGAAGTCAGGACTCCCCACTGCTGCTCCAAGCTCCACGGCCCCGCCGTGGCTCTCCAAGCCCCACTGCCGCCTGCAGAGACCACTGCATCCCCCTGCTCAGGCACTCAGTGCTGCCTGCCATCGGAGGAGGGGCAGGCGCTGCCGCCTCCGCATGCTGCTGCTACGCCTCCCGGGACCATAAATCAGACCTGTTGGGTCCCATAAACAAGGCTCCAGCCATGGCTATATATAGTGCTCTGAGGATGCAGGTTAGCCAGCTCTGCTGCAGGGCTCATTACCTCATCCCCCAAGCAGCCTCCTTGCGCAGGCCGCCCACCCGGCTGCAAAGGCCTTGGCTACCCTAGAAGGTGACCCCCGACCCCGGAGGCTGCGGGAGAGGAGCTCTGGCAAAGCAGGGGCTGCAGGGCAGGGTGTATGGGGCTAGCTGAACTCTCTGCCATGGCTGCACTGTTGTCACTGAGTGTTTGGCACTGCCAGGCTGCAGGCCCCCGGGGACCTGAGGTCAGGCTGGGGCTTCCCTTCCCAGGCTCTGCGGCCAGGATGGAGGCAGTGACTCTGCTGGTGGAAGTCAGAAGCACGGCGCAGCCAACCCGTGCTCTGGGCCATGCTGTGGGGGGTAGTTGGGCACGGGAGCCCTGCTTTTCTGGGTCTGCCCTGAAGGAGCAGCCAGGCCCCACCGCAACACTGTCTCTCTGGGAGGCCATATGGAGCAGCCCTGAGGGGGGGCCAGAGCTGTGAATTACCTTGGCAGCATTGACCAGCCTCCAGGCGTTGAGCAAGCCGAAGCCGTGCTGGTGGCTGTGACTGAAGCCAGCCTGGTTGGTGTCCCAGACGGCACGATGATCTTCGTACTGCAAGACAACCGAGGGGCCATGTCACCCTGGAGAGGCTGACCGGGTGTGGGGGGGCACACGTCTCTCCTACGCACGGCCAAGGTCAGCTGCCTGGCTGCGCACAGGGACAGGGCAGCTGGGATGTACCCTCCCCACCACCTCTTCCCAGCTCCCTGCGGTGGGCTCGCACAGATACCAGCTGGCCTGGCCCATCAAAACCCACCACCTGAGCTGCAGATGGGTGGAGGGTGAGTAACACAAATGTGGCACAGTCAGGATTCCCCACGACCGTGCCACAGGAGAGCAAGCGGCACCCAGAGCAGTGCTGCCTCCGCAATGAAACACCCCAACTGGTGCCTGGTGCCCTCAGTCCCCGCAGTCCTCAGGGAGGCAAGAGGCCTTATCTGAAAGGAAGAACTAAAGCCTCTGAAACCTGTGGGCGGATCAGGTCTGGCTCCCATTACTGGTCAGGCCTGACACTTTGGAAGTGGCTGCTTCCAACTGTGGAAAAAATTGCTGCCTGTCAAAGCAAGTTTTATCTTGCTGCATAACATAAACCGGGGGATGCACACACATGCGCACACACAGGCACCCCCATGTAGAAAGAAACCCTGTCCGTGTGCCACATCCCAGTGCCTCATTCAGTGCCTGCTGCTTCCTCCTGCAGCCCAGGCCACACTGGAGGCAGCAGGGGCTGCCCTGGAGCAGGGGCTGTAAGGACTGTGTCCAGTGGGAGCTCTGCCCCCTCTGCTTCAGGCCCCTGGTAGCAGAAAACACACAAGGGCTTCCTGGGCCTTCCTGCTTTCCCATGGAAAAAAAAGTCATCCTGCATGCTGTCCCGGCCTGTGCTGCCCCAGCTCGCAGCCTAGCCATGCTCTGGCAGACCCAAAGCTGCCTGGGACAAACACCCCGCAGGTCATCCTGGTGGAGCAGGCTGCTGCCTGCCTCCTGCACATTCCTGGTGGGACCCAGGGCAGGTCAGGAACATGGAGAAGTGGAGGGGGCAGAGCAGCCACCCTGAGATCCCCGCAGCCAGAGCCAGGGGAGAAGCCTCCCTTGCAGGGCTGTCTGCTCACCTTTGTGGCTGTGAAGACAATGATATGCTGGACATCCCGCCAGGTGAGGCAGGGCCGCACCTGGAGCATCAGGGCAATCATGCCAGCTGCCAGTGGGGCAGCAGCCGATGTGCCTGTGTGGCCCTCCGTGCAGCCCGTGCCCTTCTTCAAGTCCCAGTCTGTTGTCACCTTTGAAAAGAGAAGAGACATTGCCTGTCAGATGCCTCAGTCCTCACAGTGCCCCAGAGGGCTGGGCTGCTATAGCTGTTTTGATGGCAGGGGAACTGAGGCAGGGAGAGGCTAAGGGACTTGGCCAAGGCCTTGTGGGAGGTCTGTGGCAGAGCGGAGACTGGAACCAGTCACAGTTACAAAACAAAGCACTAAAAGCAGCCCCAGGCTTCTCCACGTTGGCACATGCTGCCTGCCCTAGGCAGGGCAGTGTGGCTGAGGAGCAGCTCGTCCCATCGCACGCCACTAAGCCTGCCGGCATTGCTGGGAGCACGTCCCCCGGCCTCCCAGCTCAGGTTTGGTGCCTTCCCTGGGCCACAAGAAGGCTGGAGCTGATGGGGTAGCAGCGGTGCAGGGCCAGGGGCTGGGAAGCTCCACGCAGGGACATCAGGGTAGGACTCATAGCAGGAAGCCCCAGCAGGACTCCAGGGATCCCCTGGGGGAATGACCCCTCCCCCAGCCCCCAGCACAGTTCTCCCCTCTTTCCCTACCCCAGGAAAAGTATCCAGGGACATTTTGGGGCCTGGCAACAGCAGCCTCCCCTCCCAACTGCAGGGCCAAGAGCACGTCTGTCTCCAGAAGGCACCTACCAGCCACTGTCAGCTTGTCCCCAGTTGTTGGGAGAGCAGCAGAGCTGGGAACAGCACCCAGCATCCCAGCTCCAGCCTTTGGGCCATAACTCCCCATCCCCAGCACAGGGCCAGGCTTCCCGGGCTTCGTGAAGTAGACCAGTGAACCCTCCACACCAGGAGCAGGGGCTTTGGCCACAGGCCAGCAGGACTGTCCTCTGCACCAAGCCATACCCACGGCTATGACCTCAGGGCCCAGGAGATGCCAGACAGGCTCAGAGCATGTGGCACATGTCTGCGGAGGACAGATGCCAGGCAGACACTCATCCGGCACACTGCGTTTAGGGACAGCACAGCCCTGCCCTGGCCCTTAGAACAGCAAAGCCGGGCACCTCACAGCCAACGTATAGTACGGTGCGCCAGGCCCAGGACACAGTGGCTTCCCTGCTCACCTGGCTGCCTCTTGCCCCACACTGAGCACCGTGGGGCCATCCAGGACAGGTAGCCGGACTCTGGGGCAGGGGCTGCATGCAGGAAGAGCAGCAGCTGATGGCACAGCAGGGGGGATGGTGTGCTCCTCCAGCAGCCCCCAACCCCCTCCACATGCAGAGAGTGACGGTCCCCAGTCATCGGGGAACTCCACATGGCTGAGCCGTATGGGGGGCAAGCGCTCTTGCTGATGCTGGCAGGACTGCTCATGGTTGTAGCCGGACAGGCCTAAGTGCCATTGCAATCGGCACCTTCCACGGGGGCTGGGGAGGAGCTGCCGTGCGCCTGACACGACTATGCCTGCGCTCACGTGCCAAGTTTTCTCAGATGCCTTTCATGAGTGCTCTGCTAACAGGGACCAACACAGCCACAGTCAGTCATTTCTGTCAAGAGGGGAAGTACACGGCAGCTGCTAGCCCAGGAGAGCAATAAACCAGTCGTAGCGTGGGACATAATCAAGCTATCAGGCCACATTGTGCTTTTAGAACCCCCAAGGTAATTGTGAATGAGTGCCATGGCAGGCCAGAGATTTACTTTGGCTTCAAAGCAGTGTAACTAGGTCACGTTTGGCCTTAATGTCTGCTTAGACGAGATGCAACAGGGGAGCCTTGGGGACACCATCAGAAAAGTCTCGTGAAAGGGCATGATTCTGCCCTTCTTCCTACCATGAAGCAGCTTTAATTGAAACCCAGTTCATGCCCACTGCAAACTGGCAAGCACGTTCATCTCTCTGCTTGCAGCGGGCTCTCCCCTGCCAAGAACCAGAGCCTCTTTGCTGGCTTTTATGTTGAGCTCAAGCCCGTGTTGTCAGCTTTTAACAGCTGCAGCTTGCACTCAGAGGCTGCGCATTATCCCAGAAACCCTGGGCAGCAGCACGCATTTTGGTAGGAAATGCGCATCGTGCCAGGGACCATATTAAATTCTTCCCATTAAGGAAACCGGAGAACATTTATAGCCTGAACAAGAGTAGAGATGGCTGCTGCAAGCATTAACTCCGTCTTGACTGAGGGATAATTAAAAGGCATTTGCAAAGCAGGAGGATGCACTCCTGGTACAGGGATGTGCCTGGCCCAGCTGAGGTGCCAGCTGCTTGCACTGCTGAGTGGGATATTGCAAAGGGTGAAGGGGTCTGTCATGCCTGGGCCACGTGAGGCATCTACCTCAGGCCTGTGGGCAGAAGTGCAACACTTGTAGTAGCCTCCTGTGAGCTGATTCCTGAGGGGGAAAGGGCATTCAAGTCCTCCCCAGAGAGGGTGCAGACCTCAGGCTGGATGGAACCTGAACAGGCAAAAGAAAAGCTGCCCCCTGCTCCAGGGTGGCAAGTCCAGCCAAGCCCTGAGCTGGGGGGGGGGTCTCCTCTTCCCTTGTGCCCATGGGGTGCAAACCAGCTGCCTTCATATAAGTTATTTGCAAAGGGAAACTCAAGCTCTGTTACTGGTTGCATTTCCTTTGCAGGAGTCTTAGTCTAACCTATTCCTTGGATGGGCATCTGGGCTTTCTCAGGGAAGAACCGCAGAACCCAGGAGCAAAGGGCTGGCAAGGCCCTTGGGGTCACCCCATCCAGTTGCCCGCTCCAGGCAGGACCGGCCCTGTCTGAAGCCCCCTAGATAAGCATGTGTCTACTTTGGCCTGCTCTTGTAAACTCCAGGAATGACCCGAACTAGACGATCTCCTGTGCCAGCCTGCAGAATCATCAGGACAGAAACGCACCTGATGATTTGTGAGCACACTAGCTGGGAGGGGCACGAATTTGTGCTCTTAGCCCCGTCTCCCCCAATCCATTCTAGGTGCAACAGGAAAAGAAGGAAGCCTGAGCCCCAGGGGAGGGGGAAGGGGGTCATGGCTCTGTCCATCCTGCACTTACTATAGTTTTGAACTGCCCCGGAGCGCTCTCTCCCCTCCCATCTTCCTGCGTGTGGGAAAGCAGCAGCTTGCAAAAACAACCAGCTGTGCCCGCTGAGCACAGCACGGCTGGAGCCAGCGCAGCCCAGGAACGGTGCCAGCAGTGTCCGCAGCAACACGTTCCCTTGGAAGCCCGCACTGCCAGCCGCCGGCCCCCATGCTGGGCCTGTGAGCGATGTCTGCTCCTGTTCTGTAGCGAGGCTACTAGGATCCCAGCCCTGGCCTGGAGAGCGGCTTCACCACAGCCAAACTGTGTGTGCTGTCTGCTAACGAGACACTGCACCTCTCTCTCGCTCTGGCTCCAGGAAGCTGCTTCGGACAGAAGACTACACAGGAGTGTGACCTGCTCTGCCTAGCTCTCCCCCTCTCCCATGTGGTAGGGGTTTCCCTTCCCAATGCAAGCCTAGGCCCATAGTACCATGGAGGAGTCAGAGATACGCTCCCATGTGCCACTGGCTGTGTTGGGGTGGGGTGGGGTGGGGTGGGGTAGGGAGGACACGCTGGGGCAAGAAGAGGTCTGGTCCAAGCCTGTGACACCAGGTATTGTGCTCAATTCATGTCCCCCTGGACACATGGGAATAGGGTAGCAGTGCAAGAGTGCCTGCCCCCTGCCCCAGGGATTTCTGGGTGGCAGGATCTGACACCCATGCCGAACTCACCTCCCCAGCCCAGTGCTGACCCCTGACCCATGAGAACCCCAGTCCCTGGAAGCAGAGCTTCTGCCTGCTCATGCAGCACAGATGCAGGAGCTGGCTTTCCAGCACACTGAGGTCATCGGCCAGGACAGCAAGGCTGTGCACAATGCTGGGGACCTCCTGGGAGCTGGCTGCCAAGATGAGCTACAGGAGGCACAGAGTGTTGTGTGCACCAGGGAAAATGAGAGCCCGCAGCCGCCCGGCCCGGGAGGTAGGCACATCCTCATCTGTGCCCTCTGCTACCATGTAGACCCCCCTGAAAAGATCAGCAATGTGCCAGGGGTGAGGAAGGGGGCAGGACAGCTGCTGTTGCAAGTAGCCCAATTCATCTCATCACCAATGCAGACTTTCCCAACGTCCCTGAGCACAGGTCCCAGACAGGAGACAAGCACAGCATGTTAGAGCGGAGCCTGGGGACACTGGAAGGGGAAGGACCCTGCTTCTGAGCTGCCCCTTTGGAACTGGGAGCAGAGAAGGGGCTCATTGCACCAGTGTCAGTCTCATGACCCTCCAGAGCCTGGCTCTGAGCTTCTGAGCATTGGGGCAGTGCGATGGGGCATGGGCCTCCGAGGGCACCTGTCCCATGGGTGTGCCAGCCCAAATTGAGGAATGTACCATGTTTGAGCCCACCCAGGGAAGTGGCCCTGAGCCACAGGGTTCCAGCTAGGGACTGGGTCTTGCTGTCCCCTGAACCTAGCAGAGTTCAGCTCTGGGACATTTTTTTGACAAGACGTTCTTTGGCAGAAAGGAGAAATGGATAAAAATATTTCTCAGCCCAGCTGGGAGGCTGAGCCGGCCTGTGGGGAGCAGAACTTGGTTAGGCAGCTCCGAGCTGGCTGCTATCTCTGCCCTGCCCCCAGGCAGCAATGGTGCAGAGCAGTCCCTGGATCTAGGCAGGGGGTGCAGGACTTGCCTCCAGCTGCACCAGGCTGGGGTCATTTGCTCCTCTGGGAAGGCACGAGACTAGTACAGGGGGTTCTAGGTTACATGACTAATGCCAGGGACAGCAGGGAACCAGCAGGGAGGGTGCAGTAGCAAGGCCACCAGCCTGGCTCCAGGAGGAAAGTCTGTGCTCACCCAGAGACCAAAACAGATAATGGTTAGACCCTAAACCCAGCATGGCCAAGAGCATCTGTCAGGGCAGGGGCATGGCCAGGGCCCTCAGACTCCAATGCTGAGACTCATCCCAAGGTGATGAAGCAGCCCAGCGGCTGGGGTGACTTATGGGGGACGCTGGTGTTGAGGCAGCCCTGGGATTCCCCAGCTTTGTCTCCAGGAGGCAGCAGCACCAGTGCAGACAAGGCTGATGTTCTGGGCAAAACCCTCCAGGAGGGAGAGGGCTCCACAGGGAGTCCCCAGCAGAGAGCCCCTGGCTGCATGGAGGAGGAGCGGGGACCCCAGCAGCGCTCTGGGCACCTTCCTTGAGACCAAACCTCTGACAGGGTCGGTGCTGGGGCCCTACTGTCGCAGGCCCGGGGAAGCGAGTGGGAAAGGGTGCCTGGCACATTACTCACAATGCTCCGCATCAACTTGTCGCCGCCGCTGAAGGTGACGGCCAGCATGGAGGCGCACTCCTCGGCGTAGAATGGCATTAAGCCCTTCTCGTCCACCGCACCTGGCGGAGCAGAGGGCATGGGTCAGAGGCAGTCCCTCCCCTCCCAGTGGCACATTTTGCCCTTCTCGTAGCTGAGGCTGGGCTTCCCATGCAGGAGCATGGGGCAGCAAGGCCCCACATCTCCAGCAGAGGCCTCACTGCAAAACGGCCCCTGTGGGGAAGCCCCACAGGGCCAAACGAATGCTAGGGGCATGAGATGCCCTGGAATCAGTGTCCCCAAACAGTGACAGTGAGGAGGGGAGAAGAGCAGGGCCTTTTCTGTGCAACCCTCACTTTCAGGGACACATCGGCCAGAGAGGACCAGGGGTCATTTCTGAGCCACCCACCGTCACCCTCCTCCTCTGCGCCTCGCAGGAAGGAACCTGCTGCAGAAACTTTTCATCACAGCCTTTGCTCAACACACGGGTCTCTATGATGGGCCTCAGCGAGAGGCAGAACGGGCTCCTGACCAGAGCCCAGGGCCAAGATTTGGGAGGCCTGGCCCATGCTCCTGGTTCTGCATGTACAGGCCTATGATTTCAGGCCCGTCACACTCCCTCTCGGTCTCCGTTTCTCCAGCTATTAACTCCTGGAAAAGAACACCCCCGTGAAAGCAGAGATTTGTGGATGTTGCTGCCATCCTAAGTGCCATTGTGCATCCACCCTCTCATTCATCCGCTGCCTGTGCACACCACACATGACATGGGGGCTTCCTAGCACCATCGTGATAGGGCACATGCAAAGGCTGCTGTGCACCCCCTCTGCACTGCAGCTGCCAGCTGGGTGGGGTGCTGTCCCTACTAGGGGTCCCAGGAGCAGCCCCTGACCAAGCCGCATGGTGCCCATGTCAGAACAGGGCCCTGCAACCCACGGGGCAAGGATTCTGGGACACTGATGTATTAAGTCTCATCCTAATTGGCAAAATGCCAGCAGATGACACAGAGCAGAGCTGCTGTCACTGGCAGCACTTCTGGCTTCCTGGCCACATTTTCTTAATGACGTGGCTGTCTCGGTCTCCAGCCCCTCACACTCGCTAATCTGTCCCCACCACCAGGATGTAGGCCAGGTGCCCCGCAGGTATGTGACAGGGCAGGTGCAGGCTCACATGTCCTGCCTGTCTGAGCATGCAGGCTGGCAGGAGCCCCTGGCTCCTAGACCTGCACTCTGCCCATTCTCCTGGACTGCCTCTTGGTCAATTCATTCTCTCCCAATTTATTTGCATCCAGGGCAGAGCCAAATCAGGACCTAACAGGGGCAGTTTCAATGCAGCACAACCAGGGGGGGTGATGTGGAGACCAGATCATCAATTCTGTATGCAGCAGAGTGATCTATGGTTTCCACGTGACCTCTCCTCCTTTGGCTCCCCAACCCTCCCACCACTGCACCACTCATGCACAGCCTGCATCCTCCGAGCACCATGCAAGCTCTGGGTCTTCCTGAGCTACCACGTGTGGAGTCTCGTGAGGGTGTAGGAGCTACTCCCTCTTGCAGGCCATGTTCCGTGGGACGTCAAGTTCTCACCCAGCTCAGACTGAGCCAATTTGGATGCACAAAGCCCGTGGCCTGTCCTAGATGGGGCCTGCAGAGGCTGGGGGCCAGGGTGCTTCTGAAACAGCTGCTTGGGGAAGTCAGCATGGTGCTGACTTAGCCAGTGCTCAGCGCCACCCAGGCTGGCTTCTTGTGATGATCCAGGACCTGAGCTTGGGCGCAAATCCCTGAATGAGCCCTCCCAGCCTTCTGGCCCAGAAACTTTTCTTAGAGCAGCAGCTGTTCAGCAGGTTTCACATGAGGCTGCAAGCACTTTCCAGCCCAACAGCTTCATCAGAGACAGGGACATAATGAGGATGGACCCAGGAAGGAAGGGAAGGGAGCTGGACCTGGGTGAGTGCTTTCCTGGCTGGCAGTTCTGCTGTGACAAATGCCTTCACTCTGCTTTCCCCAACAGACTGTCGACTCCCGCAGCTCCTCTGATACACGGTGCAGAACTTCCCCTTCTGTGGGCCAAAAGCCACCCACCCACCACACTGTATCATGGCCCAGCACTGCCAGCCAGGCCATCTCAGGGGCCCCCGGTGGAACAGGGCTTCTAAGGTGCTGGCACCTGCTGGAGGTGTGCTTAGCTTGCTGGGCAAGGCACAGACCCCAGGCAGATGTGATGAGCAACAAGGCCTCCTCCCACCCTCGCTGTGAGCAGTGCTGCCAGGGGAGGGAGCAGGACTGGAAGGGGCCTTGCTCTGTTATCTGGCTCAGAACAAGCGCAGCTCAGCTCAAGTGCCACCCCCTGCCTCTGCACAGCCAGTGGAGCAGCCATAGCCACGGCCATCCAGGCTGTATGGGGGACCCTAACCTCAGCTCCCTGGGGTGTCACACTGGGGAGCACAGCCACCCCGTCAGGACACTCCCCCACCCCCAGCCCAGGGAGCCAGGTACACGAGAGGTCCGCAGGTCCAGTTACCAATGGTGACGGTGTAGATGGAGTTGGCGTAGCCGTCGTAGTTGCAGTTGTCACTGTGCTGCCCCCCATTGCCGCTGGCCACGACAAAAATGCTCCCAAAGCCTCGGCGACCAGCAATGACCCCATGCTGCAAGGCGGCCTGTGGAGGAGGGTCGGGGGAGGCGTCACCACTCAAGAACATGTTCCCAGGAGCCTGATGTGCCCCACTCCAGCCTGTCCCTGCCGGGGAGGGGGAAGGGAGGAGCTGACCCCTGTTCCACTCTACCTTTCCCAGCTGATGAGGGCCGTCCACAGTCTTGCCATCGTCGTCAGGGCCCCAGCTGTGGAAAGACAACATGAACCCATCACACTGTGTGAAACCCTGAGCAGGCCCTGAAACCACGGCCCACAGACTGCCCTTGGGCTGCATACCATGGCCACTGCTGCTTGAAGTAGCACAGCAGGAACTAGGGCTGCTGGATCCTTCCCCCAGCTCTGCTGTATGATCCTGAGAGCTCATTGCCCTCCTCTGCACTCCAGCCCCCTCCTTGAGGTGGGGGCAACAACCCTGAGCCATCCTTGCCACAGGAAGGTACACAACTTTCATTAACGTCTGAAGAACCCTCTGCAAAGGGCACCAGAGACCTGCCAACTCTCCCTGTCACCCTGGGGCCTCCCTGTCTGTGGCCCCTCTACCAGTGCTGTCCTCAGGCCCAGCAGAAGCTATCTGGGGCAGAGCAAGCCGGCCCCATGCTGCCTGCTCGGTGTTAGGAGCGAGTGCACGAAGGGCGGTGCTGTTGATCTTGGTGCCTCACGGCTGAGTTGCTAATTGGAAACAGAGGAGCCGGGTGGAAGCGGGTCTGGAGGGAAGGCGGCGGCAGCTTGGCAACTGCAGACAAACCACAGCCCAGGCACTGCCAGCGCTCCCCACAGCAGGCTCTGGCTGGCCCCACAGGCGCAAAGGCCACAGTGCTGCTCCCATCCAGCTTGCTACGCTGTAGCAGCCCCTGCCTGCCCCACAGCCTGAGGCCAGGGCTCACCTGCAGCTATAGATGTCATTGATCTGATAGTGCTTGTTGAACGCGATGGCCTCCATGCTGTCGGTGAGAGGACCGTCCAGCACCCGGATGCCTGTGCAGCACAGGACAATTAGTGTCACAATTAGCAGGAACAAGACTCCACAGGTTTGCAGCTGGGGCACACTGCCCCTCAACCAGACCAAACTGGCTCTCCAGGTTTGCTGTCTGCAGATCAGCACTAGCGTATGAGCCACATGGGCTCATCCTGGCCTGGCAAACTGGGGGACCAGGCTAATGAGTCATATCCCCCCAGCACAGCATGAGGCAGCAGGGAGGAGTGAGTCTGGAAATGGGGTGCTCCTGGTCGCTGCTAGGTCACTGCGCACTGTTTTGCTGACCTGCTCTTGGCTTGTGGGCTGGGGGATGGAGAAGTGAGGCAGGGGACTCAGGTGAGACGAAAGATGTCACGTGTGGCCTCCATAGGACTCAAAAAGCCCTGGTGCTTTGTGCAAGAACACGGCTGTGTGCTCAGGCCTCCCAGACACCAGTCAGCTCACACAGTGCTGTGCCCACCCCCTCCTCTGCTTCAGCTGGGCACAACCCCCTTGTCTTCTGGGCCCAACTTCTGTGCTGTGGCACCATGCGCTGTCAAATAGCTGCTGTATTCCTCCCCAGACACAGCTGCATGCAGGCAGCAAGTGAAGGGGTCTCTTTGTGTACAGCCTGCAAAGCATTTTGGGATCTTGTGGGACTGAAGGGGGTCCCTGGGGTTGCGAAATGGGGTGGGGTTATTCTAAGGAGAACAGCACCACCTGCTGGACACAGAAACACCTGCACCCCGAGCAGAGGCAGCGGGCTTCAAGGGGGTGCAGCGTGTAGCAGGGAGTCCATGGTTCTGCAGCCACCACAGCCAAAGGGCAGAGGCAACTGGAACTAGCTTCCTGATGTAGCCAGGCCCACGTACAAGCCAAGGAGCCTTCGAGACCAAGCGTGAGGCAGTGCCAGGACTGTCCAGGGGATGGGAAAGTGCTTGGCTTCCCCGGGAGCACATGGTGCAGGACAGATGCTGCGGACGAACTGTTTTGCACGTGTTTCTGCACCAGGGGCCGTGTTATCTAAGGCCTGTTTCAACCAAAGAGGAAGCTTTCGGCTGCACGGCTGGAGTTTGAGGCAGGCAAGAGCTCACATGGCCTGGGCAGTGTCACATGGCACCAGGGGAGGTGTTTCTAGTGTCACGGGGAAGCAGGGACACAGTGGCTTTCAGATCATGGCAGCTGGACTTTTTCCAGGCCCTCCAGGATGGCAGCGACACAGGAGTGATGCCAGCAGAGGCCAGCCAAGCCCCACCCCTCACCCCGAGGTAAGGGAAAAATGTCCAGTGAGCACAGCAAAGAGGACCAAAAAGCCACTGGCCACAGAGAACATCACCTGCAATGCGGCTGCCATAGGCCACACCCACGGCGCAGATGCTGTTGTTGGGGACGGCCGCAATTTCACCGGCGCAGCGCGTCCCGTGGTGGTTCCCGTTCTCCTCATCTGGGTGGGGCATGGGGTCGGGGTCATTGGAGTTCAAGTCATAGCTGCCTTCAGGGCTCTGAGAACACACCCACCACCCTCGGTTAGAGGCTTTCTCTGAGGAAAGCAGGACTTAATACTGAGAGCCTCAGGAATTCAGAGGCAAGATCCATGTGGCCTTGTGCCCAAACACCCGTATTTATCCCTGCAGAAAAGGTGTAGCCAGAGCCAGCGCTGGGCACCGCTCCATGTTGGGGGGGTCCAATTCAAAGATGCTTCAGCATCCAGCTACGCCTCCTCATCCTCCCTCTTGTCCCAGCCAGCTTGCTGAGCTTCCAGCACCGCCTGGGCTTTCAAGGCACCGTCCTTTCTGTCCTTGCCAGTTTCCTTTCGTCAACTAATGATGACTGGGCCCATGGCCTCCACTCATTTGGTTTTTACCATGAGGGCTGGAGAGTCAAGCAGCCTCCACCTTGGGCACAGAAGCAAAGGGGCCACGGCTAGCTTCTGCTAAGCTTTGCCCAGAAGCCAAGTCTCATTGCAGGCCTTGCCAGGACATCGTGCCCTAGACTGGGCAGCTGGGTACTCACGTAATTTGGCTGTATGTCTTTGATAGTGTGCTCCACACCGTCGTCCACTACCACGACTGTCACGCCATGGCCCGTCACGTTCCGCTCCCACACGCCCGTCACATTGATGTCCTTCCCCGGGCTCCTCCTGTTGTTCTGCACACCAAAAAGAAAACGAGAGATGAGGGAAAGTAGGACAGGGCTGGAGGTCCCAAGCAGCAGAGCAGGTCTGGCTGGGGATGGCACTCCCAGTCCCCAGACAGGTGCCAGGAGTCCTGTCAGCCTCCCACAGCTTTGGGCTGGCTCAGGGCAGGGGAGAAGCTGGCAGCAGGGATGCAGAAAAAAGGGGCCCTGAGCACTGCAGTCCCCAGCGCTGGTGGCGAAGATCAAGGCCAGGCACAGGCCTCAGAAATCCCCACCTCCCATCTGCAGCAGAGACTGAGAGCTGCTGGCACTAACCCTCCTCCACGCAGAGTGTGTGTGGGGTGGGGGGGCCCTGCAGCATTTCCTCCACAATGAGCAGCGCAAGGCTGGTACCAAGACAGGCCATCGCTTCACCTCCATGAGCTTGTTAGCATCAGGCATGGCATCACCAAGAGACGGCTTTCCCTTCCGCGTTTGCAGGTCATACCAGGTCCCCCCTGCCAGCTCTGCCAGGCCACCCGTCAGCTGCAGTGAGACCCAGAGGTGCCCAGGGCCACAGGCCACTCACCAGATGCCACTGCTCGGGGTACTTGGGGTCATTAAAGTGCAGGCTGCGCTTGGAGCGCTTCAGCAGCTTCTGCTCTGAGTGCCACCGCACGCTATCATGCTGTGCAAACAAAGCCTCCACAGCTCTCCGCACTGTCTCAGGCTCCTGACTCGTGTGCCCGGCCGGCTGGTAGGCAAAGAGGTAATGGCCCCGCAGTTCCCCAACACGGCCCACGTTCACCAAGCCAGCAGTCCTGGCCAGGTCATCTGCCTGCTGCACCAGCTCCTCCTCGGACAAGGCAGCCCCCTCAGGCATGTTGAGGCTCACTGCCCAGGTGAGCTCGCCGAAGCCTCGGGCCTTCCCTGAGGTCTCAGCTCCAGGTTCGAGTTCTGCACTGTGGGCAAGTCCATTTGGCATCAGCACGGGCATCGTGGCTA